CTATGAGCTCGTCCATCCATCTAAGAAAAAAATAAAAATATATATATCAAAGTTGAACAGAAACAGCAGCTAGAAACTAAAGCTATTTTTAATTTTCGACACGAAAATATTCAAAGCATTCGTTACCAAACAGCGTTATCTTAAGACATCTGATCTCGGAACGGGCAATGTATGCGAACGAGTTTTTTTTTTTTTTTAACTTAGTTACTGTCACCGCTACCAGAATGCGAAATACGCTTTTTTTTTCTTCCTAACAGCAATGCTGTATAGTGCCCAGATCTTATCTAGTATAATTACGATGTGAAAATACTTTACACAAGCCGAGATTAACTAAAACATTCAGTTTGTGAAATCTTGCCATGTTTTATCTAAAGCGATTTGTCTAAATCTAAAATACTTTTATACGACGATATTTTATTTTCTAGTTTTTGGATCTCCATTTTAATCATGGCAATATTCAAATTCAGCATACATTAATAGCATTGGTGATTATATTTGAATAAATTGGCAATGTAGTATGATCCAATCATGAAAATGTAACCTATTTATGCCAGAATATGTTTTGTAAATAAGCTGTCAAATTATTAAAAATGAGGTATAATGAATTATTTCTGCCTATTTATGCCGCGAAAGCATTATTCTTTTTCTTTTACGTCACTATACTCTTGCCATAGTGGTTGTGGCCGTCCTTCTTTAAAACCCAGCACCAATTTTCTCTGCCGGCTGCGCGTCTGGTGCTTGCGAGTAAGGGCAATCCATCGCAGCCTTTATGGGAAATCTGCCGCGCGGCCCGCCACCTCCTAGCTTTCACGAAAACATTATATGCGCCCTTTTTAAATGAATAAAATGGTTTATAAGTGTTTGGGAAACTTTGATGCTTACCGTGTCTATGGGGCAAAGGTAGTGGCGGTTAAGTAAGTGGTTAAGTGGGTGGTCTGTTATATTTTTTATTCGCCTGCCAGAAGGAAACATAAATCGTAGGGGCAGGTAACCCACCACTGCGTAGCAGTCGAATGAAAAGTAGCCTATATCATATTTTAGTATTGAAAATATTTTAAACCTATTAATTTCATTACATTTTTAAAGTGATGATATTAAAATCGCACTCGTGGTTTCAATATGAAAACGTGACATACTTACTTTCATTCATATTTTTTGGTGCTTTTCTTCGATCACAGTCTTCTATTGTTGATCGAAGATCACAGTAGTCCAATTTTTTCTCTTTTTAAAAATCGCAATACCGTATAAACAAACTATATTTTTTTTATTGCTTAGATGAGCGAACGAGCTCACAGCCCACCTGGTGTTAAGTGGTTACTGGAGCCCATAGACATCTACAACGTAAATACGTCACCCACCTTGAGATATCTAAGATCTCAGTATAGTTACAACGGCTGCCCTACCCTTCAGACCGAAACGCATTACTGCTTCACGGCAGAAATAGGCGGGGCGGTGGTACCTACCCGCGCGGACTCACAAGAGATCCTACCACCAGTAAAGATATTGTATAAAGAAACAGGATTACGCTATTATTTTTATTATCATATTCATAAATTGGCGAGTAAGCTCAGCTCTGCAGCATACGCAGTAAAAAAAATTAGAATGTTAACAAACGCGGACACGGCTCGTTTAGTTTACTTTAGTTACTTCCACAGTGTCATGTCCTATGGCATTTTGCTATGGGGCAATGCGGCCGATGTAGAAATGATATTTATTCTGCAGAAAAGAGCTATACGTGCTATTTATAACATGCACTCAAGGGAATCCCTGAGGGAGAAATTTAAAGAAATTAAAGTTCTCACTATGCCATCCCAGTACATTTTTGAAAATTTGATGTATGTTCGTAAACATATTGAGGAGTTTCCTAAAAAGTCGGACATACATAATAGAAATACTAGGAACAAACACAAGCTTGTTGTGCCGATGAGTAGGTTACATAAGATACGAAATTCATTCGGGTGTTTGTCTGTGCGCCTGTACAACAAAATCCCACAAGATGTTCAGAACCTACATATACATAGGTTTAAGAAAACTATTAAAGAACATCTGTGCAATAAAGCTTACTATAAAGTCAATGATTATCTAGAAGATTGCACAAAGTGGGAATGAGTTGCTCGCTCCGGGCATTTCAATATTGTAAAATTGTTATGTTATAATTACTTATTGTAAAAATGAATATTTAAAAAAATCAAAAAAAAAAAAAAAAAACATGCCCGCTGAGTTTCTTGCCAATTCTTCTCAGGACGGAGGCTAGTTCTTGTGAATTGGCGGTAGTTCTTTTGACGTTCAACAAGTATGTACTTTCATTTATGTTGAATAAAAATTTTTTGATTTGATTTGATTTGATTTATGGATCTTTTGACATATGCGGCTACGTGTAATACATAATTTCTTGGGAGAGAGTGAGATCTGAGATTACTCTGCAGTATAATAGATAATTAGTAGCTCATCAATCAGCCTAAGTGAACTAATAAAAACGTGCGAAATAGGACACTCTGCTTTCGACATAAGACAGTTAATCATTTGCGCAATTTGTCACCAACGCAATATGTTGCATACCCAGTGTCATCGTAAGTCTTAAAGCTGAAACACTTCACACCTCGGCAATTAATCGCTGAGATCTTGTCTCCGCTGGCTCGTGGGTTTCGCGGTAACCGCCAAGATCACAGGGACCGGCCGATGCTATCTCTGAATCGAGATGCCAGCTTGATTAACTCCAATATCTCGGATTTTCATAGGATTCCACGCACGCTTTCTGACCGGATCTGAAACGTTGACATTCCCGAAATGTATGTGTGCGTTTTGAAATGAGGACCAGTTTTTTTTATTGCTTAGATGGATGGATGAGCTCACAGCCCACCTGTTTTTAAGTGGTTACTGGAGCCCATAGACATCTGCAACGTAAATGCGCCACCCACCTTGAGATATAAGTTCTAAGGTCTCAAGTTTAGTTACAACGGCTGCCCCACCCTTCAAACCGAAACGCATTACTGCTTCACGGCAGAAGCAGGCGGGGTGGTGGTACCTATCCGTGCGGACTCACAAGAGGTCCTACCACCAGTAAAATATTCCCCATATTCGTGCTAAAGAGACCCGACAACAGCAAATCGATGTCGAACTACAGGTTCTGACAAACCGTAAACGATGCGTATACCGGTGTGCGCATTTGAATTTTATTTGCCAATTTAAGAAGAACTGTGGGTGTCGCGGAATATGGAGAATGGATTTTGAAAAATTCTATAGCCGTTTCCTCTTTCTAACCGCCCCGGATAGAGTACGAAAGGGACAACCGCAACAGAAGTCAAATTGAATGTATCCAAATAAAAAAATTAAAATTATAAAATAAATAAATAAATAAATAAATATAAATATTTACTAACAACCACGCCACGTTAACTGGTCCCGTGCTAAGTTCGTAAAGAACTTGTGTTACAAGTACCAGATAACGGAAATAAATATAATATTTTTATTATACACATACATATATTTAATATACACCCATAACCCTGGAAAGACATTTATATTTATCATACAAATATCTTCCCTTGGCGGGATTCGAACCCGCGACCCCCTTGTGTAGTGACNTTCGTAAAGAACTTGTGTTACAAGTACCAGATAACGGAAATAAATATAATATTTTTATTATACACATACATATATTTAATATACACCCATAACCCTGGAAAGACATTTATATTTATCATACAAATATCTTCCCTTGGCGGGATTCGAACCCGCGACCCCCTTGTGTAGTGACCATGTCACTTACCACTACACCAGACGGCCGTTTAACGCACTTAGGCTTTTTTTTTTCTCGTACAATACTGAACAAAGTATAATATTTATTTTTGGAAAGTCTTAGCTAAGCTTTTTATCGGACTATCGAAGAAGTATGGCAATTGTCAGAGTTACGATTTTTTGTTTCATTGAATTCATTAATTTAGTTTTTTTATAGCACTTTTTATTAATTAACAACATTATCAATATAGTTTATGATTTACATAGAATTAGTTCGTTTTACTTATGTCAATAATCTTAACAAATCAAATTTCTTTTACTTATGTTTTACTCATAAAATCTATTTAACGGACTTTTGCAATGGTGAAAAAATAAAAACCATATTAAATTTCTGAAAAATAAAGATATGTCTCATCAATGGTCCATTCTGGCAGTGATTAGAGCTCCAAAGCGAAAAACCTTCACACAACTCGCGCTTTGTCATAGATCGCATTCTATCGCGGTGTATTTATCGAAAGCTTTTTTAAAGCCCTCGTCGAATCCTTTCGAATTGCGTACAAACAGACACAACCAGTGATCATAGTCATATCATCATGCCAAGCGATGGTAATCTCATCCTCCTCCTCGTCCTTCAGTCGATCGCTCATTGCTGAGAATCGTTATGCGCCCGCCTGTGACCTTTTTAATACGCTTTTATTCGCTTCAGACGTATATTTAGGTTAGTATATATGTTTGTAACGGAATCTTTGAACATGATTTTGACCCCCTTTAAAACGTCGGATTAACTCGAAATTTGGTATACTTATTAAAGACCGATGACAATTCAATATTTAAAAAAAAATTGAAAAAAGGAGGGGGAAAAATTTAAATAATTGAAATTCAACTAAAAAATGAAAAATAAATATGTAATAGCTTAAAAAAAGTAACAAAATACGTTTATAGAAAATACAACTAAAAAATAGAAAATAATGGTATGGATGCATGGTATCAGTAGTTATAGATATTTTATCAACAGATATGAGTAGAAGGGTTATTTTGATAATATCCTGAAAAGCACCCCACGCTTTTTTACAATAAAATATTTTTTTCTTACACTATTCTTAATTCAAATTTATTAAAATTTATTTAAAATTTTTTAGTTGTAATTTCTATAAAAGCGTATTTTGTTAGTTTTTTTAAACTATTATTTATTTTGTAATTTGTAATCACTTATGTCGGTCAGTGACGGCACAGTGAAGTGCATGGATCAGTCTCATGTGTAGATGCTCGGAATTTTTTACTATTGTGTTTATTACATTCTATTCTTATGTTGTTGCTTAGGTGAAGGGGGTGGGGGCGGGGGCGGAGGCGCGGCGCAACGGTGCGCGCGCGATGCTGCGGCGTCGCCTGCGCATGCGCCGACGCCGACGCCAGCGCCTCCTGCACACGCTCCTCACGTCAAGAGCGAGAGACTCAGCCCTCACGACTCCAACGCATCACGGTACGGATATATCAATCTAGGCATACTAATGCAAGCGGAAAACTGTATTCATTCAATGAGCCAAATATTAACCTGCTAAGACAGCTAGCAGGTAGACGTGGATACCAGTGTAGGTGTGATAACATACCACATTTTTTTTGTTAATGACCTTAATTACGTATTCGATATTGACAATTCTTGAATAACATTTTTGGCGTTTACCATAAAACAAGGATTAAGCCACTTCAATTCTAAAGGTGCGATATCCTCTTTTCGCATTAAAAGTGCACAATTTCCAAAAATATTCGAAATTGAGTTAATATGCGGAATCATTTGGTATCACCAGTATTTTTCTCATAAATACTGTCAAAAGAGCGTAGTTTTTTTTTGTTTTTTTATTTTACCTATTTTTTGACGACTATTAACAAAATTAATACATAATTTTAACTTACTTTAAAAGACAAAATATAATGTAACTAGTAAAAAATAAAAAATAAATGTTGCAAAGATGATTATTATTAAAAATACGACATGTTAAAGCTTTAAAACACTCTCCTGTAAATTAGTAAGTTTTGAGATTATACAGTGTTAATGCGAGAAGACGAATATGTCTGATCCTGAATGAATGAATGAATTAATGAATGAATGAAAATTCTTTATTGCACAAAATGGTGTACAAAGGCGAACTTAACGCCATGCAGGCATTCTCTTCCAGTTAACCCTCATTGATAAAGTGAAATATTCAAGAAGTGCGTAGCTGTGGTGAAGTTTTTTTTTTATTTATTGCTTATATGGGTGGACGAGCTTACAGCCAACCTGGTGTTAAGTGGTTACTGGAGCCCATAGACATCTACAACGAAAATGTGCAACCCACCGTACATATTTAATTATATTATTATTATTATGCGAAACTCATTGTATGATATTTTAGTATAACATTATTTCAGCGGTATTTGGATTAGATTTAACAGTACCTCACATAGGATAGGTTTAAATTCTATCTAAACAAAAAACCTTTATATGTTTCAAATTAAATTACTATGACAGTAAAAATCACCAATAAACATACACACTAAAAACAAGACACACATTAAAACAATGTTTTTAAGGTGTGTGCTTGTTTGAAACCAGGTCCCGGAGCGTGACGCCGTCGACTTCCTCGTATCCGGGCACACCACCCGAGCGGGGCAGCCCTCACGCCGCGCCGCAACCCTCGCCGGCGCACCCGCCCCGCAACTATTCGGACATCATGCGCTCGCTGGCCGCTAGGTACAACGCGCAGCCGAATAACGAGTGAGTACACGTGCTTTTTTTTACATCCTACCCCTACTAGATGACCCCTGATAGGCTTGAGAGGCTATATCAGGGTTACCCTAGGCCCACGAGTTTCTCGCCGTATCATCTCAGTGGGTCGCGTTTCCAATCCGGTGGAAGATTCTGGAGACACTGCTCTTGCTACGACCAGTGCTAGCAACACTCCCGGTTTGAGCCCCGTGAGCTCACCTACACTTCAAGGAGAAGCTAAAATAGCCTCTCAAGGCTATCAGCATAGGTAGAAAAAAAAAACAGCTACCCTAGCGTATAGGTGAGCTCTCGAGGCTCAGGCCAGAGGCCGACCCACTGATGAGATCCGACGAGAGACTCAGTGAGCTTTATTTATGGGTTAATTTACTCTCGTCTTACGAGGACGGTGACCGGGGCTTGAGGTACGTAAAAGCACCGTTAATGGATCGGGAGAATGACGTATTTAGGGCGACGTCGACTGTTTACCATTCGGTCTACAGGATCGGGTATGTAGTTTTCAGCGGCCACGACAAGAGGGTTTTCGTGTCGTGTCGCCTTCTCAAAATGGCGCATTGATGCCGACTATATATACTTACTGATTGAGTAAAGCTCCAGGTCATCATAGAGATCCACATTCCTTAAGAACCACGGAGCTGCGACGGCTATATAAAATATACAAAAAGGAATTCCATGAAACTAAAATTACTCCAACGTGTACAGGTCTCGTATAATCGATATCATTTCCCGACCTCTCGATTAAGAGTCACGGTAAATAATAAAAATCGATAACTTCATGTCGTCACACAGTACATCCATTAATTAAAGTTAAACGCTCCAGAGACAGTATTTTTAATTTACAAACGTCGAATAGGCTGGTTGCGTGTAAAATATTAAATCATTAGTATAGAAGGGAAGCAGTTTATCATTAAGAAGATCGTTTCCGTCTAAAGATAAGATGTCCCGAAACAATATTTTTCACACGGTCCGTGTCACAATACCATGCGACCCGAGGTTCACCGACCGGCAGACTTAGTGATGCCCAAAGCAATTAGCATATTAATCGATTCGATAACTTACGTTTAGTCGACAAATTTACATGATTCGTGAGAACCCGATAGTCTCCGCGTGAACTTATGTTATATTAATGAATTGCTCATCTGCCGCAGTGCGGTCGGTGACCCATACGTTTTGATTAGCGTCGCGACAGGCATCTCGGCGTCCCTTTGTCGATGACGAATCCAAAAACGCGCCGATAAACTACCTATATCATCGACAAAAGCAATGCTAACTTAACTAATACAATAAACCGTCAAAACAATTTCGTAAATCGTCATAATTAAAATTTTAATAAAATTAAAAACAAAAACAAAAACATCCTCCTAATTTATATGACACATTGATGAACTGTGAATAAGTTTTCATATTAATAACTACGTAAGAAATGACAAATTGAAGCGTTTTCATTTTCATCACATAATATCACATAAATCTCTTCTGAATTAATGGGTTGTAATTCTGTAAACGAATATTTACCCTGCTATTATCCTGTGACATGTTGTTTTAATTTTTATTTATGTCGTCAACATATAATACTTTTTGCCGACAGTTATTTTCATCGCATGAATGGCTACGGAGCGGAGGCCCGGGCTGCAACGCCGGCGCAAGCGGACACAATCGACGCGCCCCTCGGAGGCCTGTTCGCAAAATTGGCCAAACAACAGGGAGGTCCTCCAAGACTACCAGCATTCCCTGTCATGTTCGACATGAGCTCCACAAAGGTATGAATTCACATCTCTTTTACGGCACAAGCTTTTACCTAAATTCTTAATATGACGTCAAATTTCATTAATTATACAATGTTTTTTTTTCCCTGAACAAGGATACGATTTGAAGATAAGTAATCAAATTAAAAAAAAAAAACATAATAATCTCCGCTTCAAACTCTTTTTACGTTTATTACTTCATAATACGGTACGTTACTTAAGACAAGGCCACTGCCCCTCTGAAATAATTTACGGTCAGCTGAGTTTTCATTTCAAAAGACCACATTTGAAATTCATATTAATTATAAAAACAAGTGCTCACTGACCTTCCTGTTTTAATTACACGCTATACAGTGTTTCATAGTTCACGGCTGTGATTAAAATGTCTCGGGCGATCGTAAAATTCATAACGCGTTATCACGGCTGGCATCTCTATCGAGCGTGCCTCGTTTGCGTTAACACGACCCTCTATTGAAATCATAATGCGCGATGAGCTGCCGGCGCTTCGTTTCCTGTTATAATTAAATCCGATTACGTCGATGACCTTTAAACTTCCTGCGATATCCAAACGAGCCACGTACCATCCGGCTATGGAATGAGCTCCCCTCCACGCTGCTTCCTGAGCGCTATGACATGTCCTTCTTTAAAAGAGGCTTGTGGAGAGTATTAAGCGGTAGGTAGCGGCGTGGCTCTGCCCCCCTGGCATTGCTGAAGTCCATGGGCGACGGTAACCACTCACCATCAGGTGGGCCGTATGCTCGTCTGCCTACAAGGGCAATAAAAAAAAACGTGGTGAAGTCGATGTTGGATTCGCTTCTTATCCTTCTGTGGGACACGTGCCGTGCCTCTTACCCTGTAACAACGCGAGCACGCCAGCGAACCGTCTCGTAGACTCTCCACTGTTAAGCCAACTAGAGCTGCACTAATTGGCGGAGGCACGCGCCGCGCATGCGCGCCGACAATCGCGCCCCACGATACGCTAGTGATGGGATGTGAAATCGAAACAGCTCTCGACTTTTAAATTAGCTGACTTTTTGCACACGACTGCAGTTTACAGTAAATTGCATCGTTACAGTTATTCGGCACCGGGTTTTTACTTTTATTATTATTTGATGTATCAAATAGATTGCAGCCATTTAGTAATGGATAATTAAACGTATCTCGGACGAGAAACGCGAGTTCTGGTTTATTTTCTCCTATAAAGCGTAGCGAAGTTGAATATAAATCGTTTGATTTATGACAATCTCACAGTTTTAGCACTTACCGGGGGAACTGTGGGCGAGGCGATCGTCGGCACGCGCCCGCGCATGCCCCGACCGTGTCCGTTTCACGCGTGCACGCCTCCGTCTGTTTTTGTTTGGAATTACCTGCATTCGCCTTTTTAGTGCGCGCGGCAATTAAAAAAGATAGATTGCAATTTGACCCGCGGTCGGCGCGCGTGACGGCACCGAACGTTATTATGATGAATGCTCGGCACTTACGATCCGAGAGTGCTCTTGATCAGATAATGGCCCGCTGGCTCGCCTTTCGTGTTTGGTTAACGCCACTCCGCGAGCTGGGTAATTGAGTTCTTAAAAAATATCATACGCCCTCCGTTACCGCTGCCACAAAGTTCGATCGATACACAGAATGTTCCAGAATTGGAATTTGATGCAAAGAAAAATTTTTTTTTTTTTTTTTTTATTTCCTAGATGAGTGGACGAGCTCACAGCCCACCTGGTGCTAAGTGGTTACCGGACCCCATAGACATCTACAATGTAAATGCGCCACCCACCTTGTGATATAAGTTCTAAGGTCTCAAGTTACAATAGCTGCCCCACCCTTCAAACCGAAACGCATTACTGCTTCCCGGCCGAAATAGGCGGGATGGTGGTACCTACCCGTGCGGGCTCACAAGAGGTCCTACCACCAGTAATTACGCAAATTATAATTTTGCGGGTTTGATTTTTATTACACGATATTTTCCTTCACCGTGGAAGTCAATCGTGAACATTTGTTGAATACGTATTTCATTGGAATAATTGCTACCCGCCTGCGGGATTCGAACACCGGTCGCTACACACGAATGCACCGGACGTCTTATTTTTTAGGACGTCTTTATTATTTGCAAACTATTTGCATTCATTGTGCCTGTAAAATACATTGCATGTTTTTCAATCGGGTTATAAGACTAAAGTTTGTGCGTTTTTCTCAGACTTTATTAGCGATCTCGCGGATCAGTCGAAGCGGGAGGTCGCGTCGCAAGCGCACAGGAGCGACCGGATCGACCGCGGAGCACAGTCCTCTGGACCTCTCCGCGGCGGGCGAGAGTGCCGCAAAACGGGCTCGACTCTCGGCCAGCCCCAGCGCCAGGAGTGACAGCGACGACCGGGATAGAGTCTCCACTGATGGCAAGTAGCAATGTACAATATCAGTTCTTATAGATTTCATTTTTTTTATTTATTTCTTATATGGGTGGACGAGCTCACAGCCCACGTGGGGTTAATTGGTTACTGGAGCCCATAGACATCTACAACGTAAATGCGACACCTACCTTGAGATATAAGATCTATGGTCTCAAGTATGTCACAACGGCTATGTCTATGTTTTGGTTTGAAGGGCAAAATAGTCATATTTACACAATGCAATCGAAACTTTTTATAGCATACCATAACATTTCAAAAAACAATTCAAAACACCATGCTAAAGACAGTAATATAAGACTCCTAAACAAACCAAATAAAATAATATTACCCGCATTAGAATAATAGTTCATTGCATCGTCAACGTAAGATTTACCTATCGCGAGCATTAATCAAACTATGTAAGTCGTCTTCGATAAAAAAATTATGATCTCGCCTTTAAGATAATGTTAGACGTAACGAAAGTCAATCACCAATTATTTTTCTACTTAAAATTAATTGCTATGAAATATGAACTGAAACTTTAATTGGACGGTACAAGGTGCACAAAATGTAATAAATGTAATTAATTCGTTTAATTACTGTTTTTGCTCAGGTCGTAGCGAGCCCCGGGGGGAGTGTCTGTGCGCGGAAGCTAGAGCGCGTCTTTCGGCTTGGTCCGTCGATGACGTCTGCGATTTCGTGAATTCTATCGATATCTGCGCCGAATACGCATCGGTAAGTACACAACACTATTTCGAAATGCAAATTTGTTTTTTTTTTGCGGTCGGTACCAAATTTTTTGTTTTCTCATTTTAATAACAGTAAAAATATTTTTATCGTAGGGTGCAACGGATTTTTTACGCCGAAGCCATGAACTACGCATATTTATGTCATTTCAATGTAAACAATATATTTTTTCAAGGATACTGATATATTTTTACCATTTTCAATAATACTTTGCTTGATTGAAGATTAGAAGGGAAATTAGTAATTAACTATTTTCTTCGATCTTTCCGAGTCACAGATATAATTGATACTACAAGTACTTATACTGTTTGATCTCGCATTTGTTATTGTCAGCACAATGTTATTTTTGACGTGTCGGACACTTCAAAGTTTTCGTGGTCACGAATGACAAAGTTCTTTTTCATCGAGATTTTTAATAATGTACTAACTAAGCATTTTCATTTACTATTATACGATAGAGTAGAATAACGAGATTTTTAACAGAAATAATTTTCTCTGGACAAAAAATTATTTACCATTCCTATTTTTTTTAATTACATTAAAGTTCATCATTAGAAAAAAATAATGAGAATCTCTTTGACAAATCTAGAAAATCGTACTCAACTATTTTGTCTTTGCCTAACTGAAAAAAAAAACAAAAAAAATAATTGTTTATTTAGCCACTTACCAAGCTACTTTCAAATGTGACATTCCTTTGAAAATCACAACGATACAAAACAAATTGATTTACGGGGACGGCTAACAATGAAGTCATGCGTCATCACAGCACGGGCGAGTCATTCCACTATAAATTGAGGCAGTCATTACCAGTAATCACTCTGTTTCTACACCTCACGATTGTACCACTTTATTTTGACACGCGCTCGCATGAAGCGCTTTTATTGTGTCAACCGTAAGTGCCGTGACGGGAGTGTCATTAAATAGTGGTTAGGTAAAGGTACGTTCAGTTATGTTACATGATTCCGTGATACGTTTTATTTGCTCGATGCGTGTACTATATAGTTTATTTTTCTTTTTTTTTATTAATTTTAATTGCTTCTGCAGTGAAAGGGAGCGAAAAAATATGAAGTGTAATAATGATAGAAAAGAAAAGATTTGTTTAATTACATACCGACGCTAGATTACATCTGGGGTGATTAAGTAACTGCGTTACACGGAGTTATTTTACAAATTGAATTATTTCGAATATTTCTTGAATGTTCTCCTTTTGTAATATACCAATTGCGAATATTAATTAAACTTTTCTAGTTAAAAAAACAGATCCGGGCAATTCCTTAACAACGTCTATCTTATATATAAAATTCTCATGTCACAATGTTAGTTACCATACTCCTCTGAAACGGTTTGACCGATTTTTATGAAATTTTATATATCATGTTCAGTAGGTCTGAGAATCGGCTACTATCTATTTTTCATACCCCTAAGCGATAAGGGTTGTCCACACCTAACATTTTTTTTTTTTTTGGACTTTTTTTTTGTTATAATGAGGCATTACCTAGGTATGTGGTTGAATGAGGTTTTGTTATTTTTATACTCCCTAATCGTTCACAGCGCTACATGCCTCTTTCACTCATTTTCCATATCCTTACACACTTACAATAAGTTACTTTTTTTTCTACACTAGAAATTCCCTAGAAACCTTATATATGGCAAAACAACGTTTGCCAGGTCAGCTAGTTTTAATATACCTACATTAAATATACCACAATATAATTTCCATAATATTCACCGCTAGAGTAAATTAGACCTACGCATGAAATTTCTATTTCTCATTTAAATTAGACTTATCAAAGAAAATTAACATAGCAATTAAGATTAACAATTAAAACAGGTCTATAAGTTTTTATTTGACCGCACTGATTACTGTTTCTGTCACTTAAAATCAATGGGCGTGTCGTACAGTAAAGCTCTAAATGTTATTGACATAGACAGACCAACGCGAATGCCTCTTTGAAACAGGTTCGTGATCACAACAATGTATTGGATCGTATCAAAATATATTTCTTAATTACTTTCCAATATATAACTGGTGGTAGGACCTCTTGTGAGTCCGCACGGGTAGGTACCACCGCCCCGCCTATTTCTGCCGTGAAGCAGTAATGCGTTTCGTTGAAGAGTGGGGCAGCCGTTGTGACTATACTGAGACCTTAGAACTATATCTCAAGGTGTGTGGCGCATTTACGTTGTAGATGTCTATGGGCTCCAGTAACCACTTAACACCAGGTGGGCTGTGAGCTCGTCCACACATCTAAGCAATAAAAAATAATATATATATATATATATAATTCGAGTTACACAAATAATTTTCCATCGCTATGACTCTGAAGTTAATACAGTAATAAAATAAATTCCGCGACAGGTAACAGTTATTAAGGACCCGACTATGCGTTCAAATATCTATTCACGAAATAATGGCTTTCTACGTAATTTCGAATTTATTACATAAACCCAAGTTTATATGGTACACATTAACTTGTACTTTGTTATTTGAAGACTTAAATTAGGTTTCATGAAAACGTCACATCGTTTGTCGACTAGCCGGTTTATATTATGTTACACGGGTACTATTTAAGATTATTACTTATGCTAGAAGCGGTTTTGTACTAAAAACAAGGTTTGTGCTTTGATAAATAGAATGCTTTCGCTATAATCATGGTTGGGCATTCGAAATAATAGTCAGGAATCGTAACAAAAAGATGGCGTATTTTTTCCCGCCTGAAACTCGCGTTTCGTTTCACGCAAAATTTTATACTTCATTTGCGTTTTTATCGATTTCATTTGACATTCTACTTAACAATAGATTTCGTTTTGACTGGCGAAAACGAATTAGTGAGTTAGTATTTGTAAAATTATATGTATTTAAATATATTTCATTTTCGTTATAAGCACCAGGGAAAATAACACAGAAATCACTTTCCGGTTAGAAATTAAATTATAAATCATATATAACCGACCGGAATGCTGTTATATATGACAGGTGTCGCAGACCTAGAATGTGTAATTTCATTTCTGTCTATATTAATATTGATACTAATAAGACTTTGAAAATAAAATGCTATTTTCTATCCTTGGCATTATAACACGCATACATCCGTTTTCGTAATTGACAGATCGTCTTCTCGCATTAAAACTGTATAATCTTAAAACTAACTAATTTTACAGGAGTGTATTAAAAGTTTTTTTAACATGTGATATTTTTCATATTAATCATCTTTGCAACGTTTATTTTTTATTTTTTACCAGTTACATTATCTGTCTTTTAAAGTAGGATAAAACTATGTATTAATTTGGTTAATAGTAGTCAAAACATAGGTAACCTAAAGAAAAAAAAATATCTAAACTACGCTCTTTTGACAATATTTATGAGGAAAATACTGATGATACCAAATCATTTCGCATATTAACTCAATTTCGAATATTTTTTGGAAATTGTACACTTTTAATGCGAAAAGACGATATGTTGTCACATTACATTTCCAGGTCTAAATTCATCTGCAGGTTTAATTGTTAGGCTTTTAATGCACGATATCAAACGTTAGCTCTATATTTAACTGCCGTCTGTGAAAGGATGATAGCGATCGGCTCTTGCGAAAACCCTCCTTGAAATTTGACACCTTGGAGTGAAATGACAAAACAAACCACTCATTGTATAAGAAAACCTGTCAACATATCTACACTTAACATTTAAATGTCTGGATAATGAAGAGTATTTAACATTTAACTTCAAACGAATCAAGAATGATTAAAAATCTAAATCGCAAAATCCAAATTATTTGTAACGAATTTTCTCAAGTTTAATTTGTTTAATTATAAATTATAGTAAACAACTATTGAAATATTCTTTTTTTTTATTTTTATTGCTTAGATGGGTGGACGAGCTCACAGCCCACCTGGTGTTAAGTGGTTACTGGAGCCCATAGACATCCACAACGTAAATGCGCCATCCACCTAGAGATACAAGTTCTAAGGTCTCAAGTATAGTAACGACGGCTGCCCCACCCTTCAAACCGAAACGCATTACTGCTTCACGGCAGAAATAGGCAGGGTGGTGGTACCCACCCGCGCGGACTCATAAGAGGTCCTACCACCAGTAATTAATAGTGTTATACATATATTGTTGAGTTTTAATCGAACTAATGATGTGTGTTTACTCATTTTAATTCCTTTGTCTATTCCACTATATTGTAGCCTTATTCTATCTATTAATAGTCTACTAACATATTTCTACAATTAGAAATATTCGTAGATAATTCCACGAATTTAAGTCTTTGCACTTTGACTTAACAAAAATAAAATTAATAGACGTCTCCAATTAACTTAATGCTTACATTATTATCAACTTATTAATATTAAAACAATTTAGGATATTATATAAAGAATTTCTTATAGTACAACACGAAGTAATTAGGCAAACTTTACGAACCGGAAGGTAATGATATTATATAAAAAAAAAAATCTTCACTGAATTTGCAATTGATGAAAGAAGAAACTGCGATGAAATTATAAAATTTCTTTTAAAACACACTAACTAAATAGTTAGTCCTTGTTCAATGCGCACATACATATTTATTTCTTACAGTAAATATTTAAAGTAAAAAAGGAAGAAAAAAAACAAATATACACATAAATGAACGCTGAACAACTGATATTATTATATAAATATTTTTATAATTTTTTTTATTATCAGGTATTTTAACAATTATTATAATATAATATATATTTTATCAGTTATATATTTATTTTATCAAAGTAGAAGTAAGCTAATGAACTTAATACCCATTCTGAGTCTGTAAGTAGAATGAAGTGATTCACTTAAAAACAACTAAATTAAAAAGGCTACATCTGAGGGCAAAGAGGAAAGTTATAAAAATGTTTTGTTGATTATCCGCCAAGCACTTACTGATTGCATGTACATAAATTATATTATGTGTTTCTACAATATATTTTTGGATAGACATCTGGATAAATGTTGGATTGTCAACATAGCC